TCGCAACTCATTATCTGCCTTCCGAGACCGATCCTAGCACCACCCCGCGATTATCGCCTTCAAAAGATACAAATCATGAACCACCTGCAAGTCTGACTCCTCTGCTTGAGGATGTGTCTGCTTTTGCTTCTTCGGATTCTCCTCACAAGGTCATTCCCCGCTCTAATCGCGTCGGCACCTCCCACATGGAAGTTGACGTCCGCAGGAAGCATCCGCTAGACACTCCTTCTTTGCTTCCGCCGGGGGTCCCGCATTCTACCCCTCTGCTCCCGGTAGACTCGGACGCCATTGTGGACGAGCAGTCGGGGTTGGCACATCGGAGTGCCCCATTTTCTGCATGGGAGAGCTTGCAACCCCTTAGAAAAGTTTCTTCTGATGGTGCTGCTAACAAGCCGGCTGCGTTGGCGGATCATCTAGTCCATCGCAGTCTTTTGTCAGCCTCCCTTAATGATGCGCCATTGCCGCCATTGCCGCCATTGCCGCCCTTACACTCCTCTGTCTCTTCGCCTGGCGTGCACTCTCCTGTGACCAGTGTCGACACAGCCCACCATGCCTGGTCGATGTCGCAACCACATGAGGGTACACGTGAGAACAGACTGGAACGAAGTTCGAGTCGCAGCCGACGTGGCAGAGTTGAGCAATCAATCGAAGCCAATCTGGCAAATGCGGAACCCGCCTCCCATGTGCGCAGCCGTAAGTCGAGTCACTACTTAGGCCTGTTCAAGGAAAACACTACCTCTCCTGATCGTAAAAGAAGAGAGGAACGCGCCGGCAGACACGATGATTCCACAGAGCCAAATGATCCACACCATCGGGTCACTCATTCGGAGCCTCGCTTTGCCCTGGAGCATTGTGACTCCCCACTGGATGCTTCATTCCCGTCCGACGAAGGGGAACTCAGAAACACCAAGAGTTTGTCACAGCTATCGCTCGCTGATGCTCCACTGATCTTGCCAAGTATAGAGAGTGATATAAATCAGATGAGGCACGGGGACAACGTCAAGAAATCACAGCCTCGGGCTCTACCCCGAAGCCTTCTGGAGGAGATCCGCAACTTTCACCTTACACCCGGCGGAGCCCGTGGCACTTCCTTCTCACGGAGTATCCCTACCCAATTCGCTGAGAGAGGGCGAGACTATCTCTCCAAAGACCATGCAAGCCAAGGCGTTCTGGGTTCTCACCTGTCCGGATCTGACTCAGACCGGGAACAGCGTCGTCCTTTGGAAGAGGAAGAGGATGAACAAATATCCTCTGCCGTCTACTTCCCTCATGAGCGTGTCACGATATCAGAAGAGGTCGATTCCATCCCGCCGTATGCGGACACTGAACATGGTGGGGATACAATTGATATCTCGACTGCGCAAAATGGCCACGTTCGGATGCCAAAGAGACATGTTTCTGATGACCTGGAAGGTAATCATGTGGACATATCTCTTCGCTCTAAAAATGATAGTAGAATCCTCCACGGCGACCTACAGGGCATGCAGAGTGCTCCAATAGAAGAACTTAATGAAGAGTCTCATGCTTCCATTCCTGAGCGCACCACTGATTATTATTCGACATGCGAATCTGAGTTTGCATCCGCTGACGATAGCGGGATGTCTGTTCGGGACGAGGAATCGAGCTTGACAGACGAAGCTGATGTCACGCCCACTGCCACCCCAACCCAGGGCCCACGGTTTCCTCGTGCGCGGCGCAAGCATATTAACGCCGCACCTCTCGGCGCAGTGGAGCTCAAACCCTATCGTCATCAAGTGGGTGGCCATACGACCGTATTTCGATTTTCTAGACGGGCTGTATGCAAACAGCTCAACAACAGGGAGAATGAATTCTACGAGCGCATTGAGCGCCGACACCCCGAAATGCTGATGTTCCTGCCAAGGTGCGTATAAAATGTCATCTGTTCAACTCCACAAATCATTACGACTCTCTACTTACATTGTTGCTAGATACATTGGCGTTCTCAATGTCACTTTCTCAAAGACACCAAAGCGACCCAAGGATCCGACTAAAACCAACGGAGAACATAGAGACACCAACCATACTGCGAACAATTCTACCCTTGCTGACAACAAAGATTCGACGGCTGCAAGTAGCTCATGCCCCTCTAAGGACACTAATCAGCCACGTATCTTCAGCCAAAAGCAAATCACTGGCATCATACCGCAAGTGATACTGGAAAACAACAGACATATTATTCCAGCAGATCTATTCTCTCATTGTCAGCGTCCAAGGACTGCCGATGGATTGATGATGCAGCGACGCTTCTCGACCGGAATTGAATCCATGCCAAGCCTACAAAACGGACAGGAATGCTTGGCTGATGGTCCACTATCTCCCCAGGTGCTTAAAAAGAAGCAGTGGGGCGCGACAACTGTTAACCGACAGTTGCAAGAGCAGGTACTCCGTGAGGTCTTCAGTCCCCCTGCTGTGCACCATCACCGACGCCACGCACGTGGTCATCTGAACCTGCCAAGGACATCATCAGACGGCATCCGCCGTAGAGTTAATCTCTCCGAAGACCGAACTTTGAGTCGTCGTACTGCTTCCGTTGAAGACGCGCCGACGCTCGCTGCTGGCATCGACATTGCAAAGCAGACAAATGATGGGCCGGGGCTGTCTTCATCGGCATCTACTGCCTTGGATGCAGGCCACAGTCGACTTGAGAAGGTCCGAACTGAAGAGTCACCCCCACGTGCTAGTTCACTTTCGCGAAGTCGGCCCATGAGACGCCGCCGTTCAGGGAGCGGATTGCAGAGACGGGGTAGCTTAGGCTCTGGAGAAGGTGGAGGCGAGCTACTGTTCTATGACGACGATGGGTACGGAGGAGACAAGGAAGACGGTGTCTTCCCAATGGAGGGCGATGTATCCGGCAAATCGCCATCGGGACGCCGAATGACTGACCAATTCGGACCGCCTCTCCCCAACCCCAAGACTGCTGTTGCCGCCAAGCCTGCCGACCAGACCTTGATTGAACCCTCGGAAGAGGGCTCTAGGCATAACGATCACGTACTGCTCCCCTCCAATCCCAAAGAAGCGCAGACACGGAAGGATGACAGGGTTCAATTTTTCCTGTTGCTGGAGGATTTGACAGCCGGCATGAACAAGCCTTGCGTGCTCGATCTAAAGATGGGAACGCGTCAGTACGGCATTGAGGCTGATGAGAAAAAGCGTAAATCTCAACGACGCAAGTGTCAGTCAACAACCTCCCAGCAGCTAGGTGTCCGTTTGTGTGGCATGCAAACGTGGAATGTGAAGAAACAAGAGTACTCATTCGAGGACAAATACTTTGGTCGCGATCTAAAGGCCGGGCGTGAATTCCAGGATGCTCTTACCCGATTTCTTTACGATGGTGCTAGTCAGCGAAGCGTGACAAAGAAGATTCCTGTCATCCTTGAGAAATTGGCACGATTGGAGAATATGATCAGAAGGCTCAAGCGTTATCGCCTGTATGCCAGCAGCCTTCTGATCCTCTACGATGGTGACCCAAACCCGACAGATGGAGCTACCCAAGTCAATGGCCGGTCAGGGTCCGGCACCATGCGAGATAACTTGCAACGTCGGAGCTCTGACGATGGCTATCTAGATGTGCAGCTGAAAATCGTGGACTTCGCAAACTGTGTCACAGGCGAGGACGAGATTTCTCCCAACGCTCCTTGTCCGCCCCAGCATCCCGACGATATTGATCGTGGTTACTTGCGCGGTCTCCGGACTCTACGAATGTACTTTCAACGGATATTGAAAGAAGTCAGCCACGATGACTACATAGAAAGAGGCGAGGGTGAGGCTATTGCTCTCGGATCTCGACACTCGGACCAAGACGAATCATCGGAGCGGTTTTGGGACGAAAACGTCATGGAGAGTGATCCCGGCGAGGTCAGCTTTTAGTGGTTGATTCTCGTGTTTGGAATGATTCCCCCGAGGGACAACGCTTTCCTTTGATCATCTGCCCAGCAGCCGCCTCGACTCAACGTCCCACTATTTCCACACCTTACTCGATGTTCTGCCCGAGCAAGCAATGCGGGGATTGGTTTCGTGACAGCGGATTTGCTGTCAATAATTGACGGCTATGACCTGTCATCCTGTGGCAAGCGAAACGATATTGACGAATTATAACGGCACTATGCTACCTAATCCAAGTCTTCGTCTATTCATGCCTGGAGCATGATAGGGGAAGGTTACTGTTTTGCAGCCATATTCACATGGCATGTATGAAATTGTTTTTCAGACCCATTACCTTGTCTGTGTTTTCTGATGGTCATTTCCGGTTGCTCTTTTCTTGGACATGTTTTACTGCTCTATACCTCCTGGGAGTAGGTGCACAGCTCTGGGGTTTTCTAATTGTGGCTTTGTTCTTTCTCGTTTTTTTCCGGTTAAATCAGTTTGACAGGGTAATATTCGAGACTTGAGGTACTTGTGTACATACATATGGGCGCAGTAGCTAGACAAGAACTCATAATTCACACTCTACGTTAGGAATTCAATTTCCTGAGGCTTGACTATAGGCTGGCCAGGCAAGGCAAGGTGGTTGATGCAGTAAGTACCTAGTTGTTCAACACTTACTCCACTTAGGTATGTGCAAGGGGGAGATGAATGATGCAATCACGTGCTCTGCCGATAAGGCGGCGCGGACCTTATCTAATCGCGCATCATTTGGCTTCCCCTTCCTTCGACTCTCAACACTCCCTCCCCGACAGCTTAGCTCCTGTTTCGGTAATTCCATCTTCAACCCATGAGAGTGTGGACCTGCATTGATTTCCAACCTCTAACTCTGGTGCAGTAGCAATCTCTAGTCATCTGCCAGCCTCAGCTATCCAGAGGCTCTTCGACGATCTCTTGCTAAACCACTCTCGGTCCTTCCCTCGGATGACGATAGTCCCGCCTACACCTGAGGAGTCACATTCGCATCCACGCCTTGGTGTCTGGCTTGCTGCTTCAACCCAGTCACCCCCCCTTTTGAGTCCTAGAACTTCTAAAGAAGTTAAATAACGAAACACAGCATGACAGGATCCAATGGCCAAACCGTCTCAACCATCGACAAACGAGACTTCGACTCTCACCGTCCTCTGTTAGATGGGTTCGATGCCGGCGGTGACGCGGAGGAGCACGGAGCTATCCGCTCACGACCAGTATCAAGACTCGCCGCGGCCAACGACGAGGACGGGCTGCTAAACGATGTGGTCGAAGAGATCCTCGAACGCGATCGCAAGAAGATGGCCAGAGAAGTCGTCCGAATTGGCAGCTTCGCCTGGGGAGTGATTACCTGGTAAGGTCTAATCGTTAACGCGACCGTCTGCGGAGCTCTGGCTAATAAGCTATCAACCACTATCAGTCTGGGAGCTGGGAGCATCACAGCCTTTTCTCTCTATGGTCCCCTTCTGCTGACCCGCCTTCATTACACCCAGCTTCGGGTCAACGCGGTCTCGATCGCCGCGGAGGTCTCGATGTACCTCCCAGTTCCCCTGTTTGGGTACCTCTGCGACCGATACTCTCCGTCTCCTCTGGCTTTGCTCTCGGGGATCGTGTTCGGGGCCGGCTACCTGCTAGCTGCCTTTGCCTACCGGAGCGGACCGCCGCCCGATGCCGGTGGCCAAGGCTGGCCTTTCTGGGTGATGATTGTGGCTTTCATCGCCATTGGCACCGCCACCAGCTGCATGTATCTGGCTGCCGTGACGACATGCGCGAAGAACTTCGGCCGCGGCAAGCACAAGGGGATCATGCTGGCCGTTCCGATTGCCGGGTTTGGACTTAGTGGCATGTGGCAGAGTCAGGTGGGAACATACTTGCTCTATGAACGCAATGAGGATGGTAGCCGTGGCGATGTCGATGTGTACAGGTATTTTGTCTTCCTCGCTCTGCTGTTGCTTTGCATCGGCGTCGTCGGTACGTTCGCCCTGAAGATCGTGGAGGAAGATGAAGAGAAATTCATCGATGACGCGGTGGAGGAACTCGAGAGGAGCGGGCTCCTCGAAGAAAGTGAGTTCTTCCGATCGAGAGATGAGGTCCGATCGGCGTACGGGACATTCTCACAGGCAGACGATGTGGGCGACTCGGACGAGGAACGCACACTTGCACGGTCGGAAGAGGAGCTGGAAGCAGCAAGACTGGACAAGCAGAGGGAAGAGGAGGAACGCAGAAAGAAGAATTGGCTTTTGAACTACGAGACCAAGGTTTTTCTTGCAGACCGGTCCATGTGGTGGCTTGCAGTGGGCTTCTTCTTGGTTACTGGACCTGGCGAGGCCTACATCAACAACGTATGCACTTTCCTTGCCGCACGAAACAAACCTAATCTGGCATGCAATACATACTCACCTCTCTCCAGCTGGGCACAATTGTACAAACCCTAACCCCCATCTCCACCCTCCCCAATGCCCCGTCCCCCGCGGGCCTCCCCTCCACGCACGTCACCACCGTCGCCTTGACCTCGACGATCGCCCGACTGCTCACCGGCTCACTCTCCGACTTTTTCGCCCCGCACGCCCGTCACCTGTTGCCCGGAGGCAATCCGGACATCAATCGGCCGGCGTCCCCAACGGACCCCCGCAACCGAGTCACCTTCACCCGCCTTGTGTTTCTTCTCCCCTCCGCGTTCCTCCTCTCCCTGGGCTACCTCCTCCTCGCCTCCCCGCTGCCTCTCGACTACCCGGCCCTCACCCACATCACGACCGCCCTGGTCGGCCTCGGCTACGGCAGCGCCTTCTCCCTCGTGCCCATCATCATCTCCGTGGTCTGGGGCGTGGAGAACTTCGGCACGAACTGGGGCATCGTCGCGATGGTCCCTGCCGCCGGCGCCGCGGCCTGGGGCCTGATCTACTCGCGCGGCTACCAGGACGCCACGGACGGCGGGAGCGGCACGGCCGACGGCCAGTGTCATGGCTGGTCGTGCTACGGGTTCTGGGCGGTGGGATGCACCGTGAGCGTCTGGGTGGCCATCGGAGCCTGGTTGGTGGCCTGGCGGCATTGGCGGAGACGGGGGGTTGTAGTTTGATTTTGAGGGATGGACTATTGCCGGCTACCTTACCATCTGGCTTCCGTTTTGTTTGGTCATGGAAAGCGCTGATTTTCAGGGTATATTGACCTATGACATCTTTGGTATATAGATCGGGATTTTCTCCTTGTTTGACTCTTGTGTCGTCATTTTGGAACTCTGTGTCCAGCCACATGCATACTGAGCATACATAGCCTTGTGTCAATCCTGGGGTTGTTGATTTCTTGCCCAAGGTTCTGAATTAATTTGTCACTCTAGGTCATGAGTCATGGCATCCATTCGCTTTTGGTTTGTAACAATCCATCTGAAGAACCATTCCTTGTCCATGTAAACGCCACGCCAACTAGACAGGGAGATCTAACAATGATACTAAGAATACCCTAGTCTAGAGGGTACACCACCTCACAAAGGGCAACCATTCAACTAGGTAACCCCCTCTACCGAGCCCTACCTCACCCTGCCTAGCCAACCAGAGTCAACTCAAGTTGGACACCGTCTCAAACATCCGTAGACGAAGGATCCATCCCCATGAACACCTTATACAACCGCCGACTAGCCGCGGGCCCAATGCGCGAATCCGTAAGGGCGCCGTTCTTATTCGCGGATTTCTGCAAACCATCCGGAACATTAGCATCAACCTCTGTCTCCGACTCACACAATCCCCCGGAGAGCTCCATACACCCCACTATGGAACAGAGGGCGGAAACAAAACATACCTTAACATCCTCCAACAACCCGGGCCCCTCGCGACGCATCCCGCGCACCAGATCCAGCACGCTCGGGTACCGCTCGGCGATGCCGTAGGCCATACTGGCGGTGATGCGGTTGACCTCCTGCAGCATCTTGACGAAGGTGTCGGAGCGGTTCTCGCCGGGTTTGACCTGCCCCACGTCCATGCAGAAGGCCGAGTCGTTGACGGCCATGCGCTCGCGCCGGTAGGGGACTGTCGAGATGTGCTCGGTGAAGGTCTTGATCCACTCGGCCGAGTCGGCGGGCGCGGCCGTGTGGTGGATCAGGCAGGCGTGGGTGACTTGGAGGTCGAGGAGGGCGTCTTCGATCGTGTCATCGTCGATGGGTGGGGTGATTTCGGGTTTGTTGGTGGTTTGTTGGGTTTTCTTGCGGGTGCGGCGGGTGGTTGCTGTGGTGGTCAGGTCGGTGGATGCTGCTGCTGTGGCTGCTGCGGCCTCGTCGTACTGGCGACGGACTTCGGCTACGTAGGCTTTGTTGCGGGAGTTTTTGTTCTTGCGCAGCCAGATGGTCAGGCCTTCAATCAGGTAGATCGGGGTGCGGTTGGGGTAGGCGGATTTCAGCGTCTGGATGTGTTGCTCTAGGGTCGTTGTATCGGTTTCTGGCGAAGCAGACGACGACGACGACAAGACCATGCCGACGAATTCCTGCGCCGGCACCAGACAGAGCACATGCTCGTCCTCGTCGCGGATGTGGGGTGCACAGGGTTCCCAGTACCCGAGGGTGTCGTTGTAGGTCGCTTTGACCTTGCGGCGCCATCTCACGACGTTGGGGATCGCACTGGCGAAGAACGACAGCTCCACCCCGAGATGCTTCATGAACTCCGTCGTCTGGTTCCCGACGCTCGTCCCTTCGAACGTCGAGGCGAGGTCGATTAGCATCTCCGGCGTCGACTCCTTCTTCGTTACTTTCAGCTTGTTGACCTCCGCGATGTCGGCGGCAAGCTGTTTCTCCCGGGCCTTCTCGCCCTTGAGTCTCTGCTTGCGCTCTTTCTCCCGCTGCCGCTCCTGTTCGCGTTGCGCCTTGGCCACCGCCCGTTCCCGGGCTTTGGCGTCCTTCGCTGCGCTGGTGGAGGTGGCGGTGGTGGCGGTGGTGGTTTTGCGCTGGGATTTGCCCCGGGCGGTAGCGGCTGGATCATCCATCTGGTCGTCATCTTCAATGATGTCCTTCGCGGCTCGATCTTTCTTGCGCCGTCGGCTTGCGGTCGTTGTGGTGGATGTACTCTCCGTGACACCGCCGCTTTGTGGTCGCTCGAGGTTGGCGAGTAGAGCTGCCGTACGACTGGAGAATGCGCCGGTCGTCGGTGGAGATCTCGGACGTTCGAGAAGTTCGTTGATGTCGGGGAATTGGATCTGGTCGCTGAAGTCCTCGATGTTCTCTCGGTGGTTTTGTGACCCGGCCGTGGGCAATCGCTCGTGATCATCGTGATCATCGACGTCGATCGCGATGGCATCTGTGGTACGGGGAGGAGGTCTCCGTGCAACGAGAGTAGTGACCCTGGATTCTGGGGCAGATGACGTGAAGATAATGGGATCTGATTCTCCATTCCAGATTGGGAGTTTCGGAAGGGTGGGGCTGGGTACGGGGCCGGGACCTGGACCTGGACCTGGGCCTTCGGATGATAAGATCACATCTTCGTCGGAAAATAGAAACAGATTGCTCCTGGGCTTGGGGAGGGATGGCTGTCGGAATCGCGGAGGCGGAGGGGGAAGAAGTGCTTCATGGCTCAGACGTCGACGCTTGGCTGGGTTGTCAAGGTCGAGATCGTCCTCCCATGTGAAAGCGGAGAGGTCGACGTCGTCGGCGAGAGATGCGGCGCCGGGCGGAGTGGAGTGAGCACGTCTTGCGTAGGAAAGTTCGTGTCGGTCTACTGGGGGAAGAGGGGGAGGAGGTGTCGAGGAGAGAAGACTGATGACTTCTGGCATTGTGTCGCGTTCTGAGATAAGGTCGGCGAGAAACAGCCAACGACGATTGCAGAGGATAAGAGATTCAAGGCCGGCGGCACGTGTCGCGACGTCACGTCCGCTGCGCGCAGTCACGTGAATCTATATCTATTACCAGTATATGGGAAAAAGCATCGGCCATGTGATCAACGAGCAAACAAATTCTAATATACTGTACATTGCAAAAAGGGTATTAGATTAGCAAAGCAAAGTCAAACTCAAAGCAACCTGAGAAGCACGGTAACCAAGACGGCAAAGACAACGCCCAGGATAGCCAGAAACACCAGGATCTGCTGGAACCCACGGAATGGCGGCCTTTCCTTGCGGAGCATGTCGTTGATCTCTTGCTCCAATTTCTCGCCCATCGCAGTGAGCGAGAACTCGCTCTCGACCCGTTTCTTTGCCACAGCCGACATGCGATCCAACTCCGCTGGGTCCATCCCGTAGAGCACCTTATCCATGACCGCCGTCCACTCGGCGTCGTTCTTTGCATCGCGAAGCCAGCCGGTCTCGCCCTCGACAATTGTCTCGCGAGGGCCACCGGTATTCGACGCGAGGACGGGGATCCCCGCGCGCATGGCCTCGACCGGCACGATGCCGAAATGCTCGTTGACGGGCGTGTAGAGGAGGAGTCTGGACTGCAGCAGGAGGGTATCGCGGAAGGCCGTGGGCACCGAAAGCAAGAAGAGCACGTCGATCGAGTCCGGGACGGAGAGCGCCGAGACGACCGTCTTCGCCGTTGCAGTCTGCAGTCCCAGACTTGTCGCCAGCTGATCCAACTCCTTATGGTACTGCACATTCTCCTGAACGCGGTTGTCGTAACCACCTACATCACATCCCATCACAAATTAGCCCACCTCAACACCGAAAAACCACCGCAACTCGCAGAGTAACAGTAAGAGTAAAGAAAAGAGGAAACCAAAACTCACCAGCAATAACCAACCTGGTCCCCAGCCTCTTCTCCGCGCCAAGACCATGATACGCCCGAATCGCGAGCGCCATATCCTTCTTTCTCTCGAATCGATTAACACTCAGCAAGATCTTCTTCCCACCCCACAGGCTTTCCTCTCCCTGCATCTTCTCCCCTACCTTCTCCCCCTTAACCGCAGTATCCACACAGGGATAAACAACACTCAACTCCCCGAGCGTCTCCGCCCCAAAGACCCCCGTGATCACCCCCCTCGTGAACCGCGAATTAGCCACGACCTTATCCGCCGCACCCATCGCCCACCCCTCGAACCAATCGAACGGCGCCCGGTACAGCGCCTTCACCACCCGCAACAATCCCCCACTCTCATCCCTCCAGGCGAGCAACTGATCCGGGAAATGGCAGTAGAAGAGAATGCGTTGCTTGCTGCTGCTGCTGCTGCTGCTGCTGCTGCTGCTGCTGCTGTTGCTTCCGCTCCCCCTCCTTCTCCTGCTCCTCGTCGCACCCCAAGTCTTCAGGATCGGAACGCAGGCGGGGACTTGATCGACGATGAAGATCTCCTCCTCCTCGACTTCTTGCGTGTCCGGGTTGTCGTCTACAGCCTCCCCCAGTAGCGATAGAGTCAAGTGCACCTGGCGCGCAATGGCCATGAGGACGTGGAACCGGCCGCCGAGGTGCGCGGGGAAGATCGTGTTGCCGCGGACGCGCACGTCGAGGGTCCCGTCGCGGGCCTCCTCGAAGCAGTGCGACTTGTCGCGATGGGAGGTGTAGACCGTGACGCGGTGGCCGCGGTTCTGGAGGGCCAGGGCCACGTCGAGGATCAGGCGTTCGGCGCCGCCGATGCCGAGGTCCGGGTGGATGATGGTGATTTTAGGGAGGCGGGGGCTGGAGGAGGACATTGTGAAATCGTGGTGAGCCCAAAAGGAAGGGCAATTACCAGCAGGGAGGAGTTGGATGGTCAAGAAGGAACGGAGATGAAAACGGCCATCTCATGCGCAATGGGGAGAATCTTTGTATAGCTTTGGTGTTAGGGGAAGAGTACACGCGGCCACTATCGGTTCAGTTGATAAGCCGATTAGATTGTGTCATGTGATGATAACAGTTGCCGGTGATATCACAGATGAAATCAGTGTGTATCTCGCTGCATGGCCATTTCAACCATGCATACACTTACACCTTGCAGGCTAACATGGATCGAGTAGGTGAAGTCAGAATCGCAAGATCTATGAATGACTTCTAGCTCATTTCGCGATGAACAGCTATGCTAGACAACTAAACTAACATGCTCAGTCAATGCATGTGTAAGGTGTAATGACAGGGTAGTCGAGAAATGTACAATAACAGGCCATACAGGTCAAGGTCATAAGGTGAAATTCATAAAACACAAGGTGAATGAAAAGAAAGAAAACTGTGCAAAAACAACACAAAAGTAGTGAGGTGTGGAATACACAGAGAGGAAGCGAAAAGAGTATCGACCATGTCCAAAATCAGAGGGAGTCGACGTGGGATTCATCATGGTACAGTAGAAGGCTAACTGTATCTGGCAGGAGTGCAAGGATAAGGATAAGCAAGCAAACAGAGAACCTCCCACAAAATTGAGTACTTGATTCAGAAGCAATTGAGCGTGCTCTTCTTTTTCTTCTTGTTGAGCGCATTCATGCGCTCTTCAAGCTGCGCTCTGGCGGCTTCCGCCTCCCGCCGAGCGTTTCTCTCCTCCTCAACAGCTTGAAGAGAAAGACGCTGTGAGGTGCGCTCCTTACGCAAAGTCGTTAGCTCCTCCTCCAGTTGCCAGGCCGTCTTCTTCCAATTGTCGCAATCGGTCTTGACCTTGTTACTCTGGGCTTCTAGATCGCCAAGAGCTTCTTCCAACGTGGCCGTAAGTTGTTTTTCGGCGTTCAAGTGCTTCTCAATGGTACGAATGCGCGCCTCTTGGTCTTCAACGATTTGCGTGCTGACCAACTCCTTGCTGGTATGCCGCGAGCTTGGCGGAGAAATACTGCCAGTTCCGTTGGTGGCGGCTGCGATGTTGGGAAGTGGTGGCAGAGGAATTGCTGGAGGTGGAGAAGGAAGGGAGGCTGCCGAGGAGCTCTTGCGAAGGTTAGATGTGATCGAGCTGCTGCGATCGTGAGAGCTATCGTGATTCTTGAGTTGCAGCTCGAGTTGCTCAATCCGCAAACGGTAAGTTTCAATCTCCGTCTCGTAAGTAGCAATCTTGACCTTGGCATCCTCCAGAGCTTGGTCGCGCTCTTGTTGGATCACGGAAAGGCGGTTGTTGTGTTGATCGAAGCTGTTTGTGATCTGCTCCTCGAGCTCCTCAACAAGACGGACACTCCGCTCCTTTTCTTCCTGAACTTCTGCAAGAAGCGCCTCCTTTTTCTTCACCTGTTCTTCCTTCTGCAGAAGAGTATCCTCCAAAGTGGCCACCAGCAGAGCAAGCTCATTTACCTTGGCGTCTTTAGCCGCGTTACTTCGAGTAAGCTCGTCCAGACGGCCAGCTTCGCTGCTCTTGTCGTCTAATTGCTTGCGCAAATCATTATTCGAATCCATAAGCTCCGCGTATTTGTCAGAGAAGTGCTGCTTTTGCATCAAAACATCCTGAATCTGGTCCGCGAGGTTGTCAGCCGTAACATCGGAATTCAACAATCGCGAAACCGATTGCATCGAGGTCGTCAATTCGTCGCGTGATGCCATGATCTCAGATCTCAGTTTTTCCATGGCTTGCTCATGGTCGGTGTTCATATCCGTGAAACGTGTCTCATACTCAGCCTGCGTGGCGGCTCTTGCGCGAGACTCCAACTCCTCCTTCTCTTGTCTGTGAGTCTCCTGCAGAGAATCAAGATCCTTCTTGTAAGTCTCAGCAAGTGATCTGTGGGTCTCAATTTCTTTCTCCAATTCAGCCATGCGGGACTGATGCATCTCTGCCTCATTGCCGTTGTTATCCTTAGCGGTCTGGAGGTCTGTCAACTGCTGCTGGGCTTCACCATATGATTTCTCTAGCGACGCAATCTTCTCAAGGTTGATGGTAGCTGTAGATTGGTGTTCCTCGATAACCCGTTTTAGCTTACTAACAGTTTCTTCTTGTTGCGCTCTTTCGCTTTCCAGCTCTCTTGCAGCAGCCTCTTTGGAAGCGGATGCTTCACCTGCAGCAGCTTGTTCGGTACGCATTGCGTCCAGAGAAGCCAAAGCAGTATCAAGCTCTGCTAAAGTTGCACTAAGCTGCTCTTCCGATGACTGCAGAGATTGAACAGCATTTTGATGTTTGTTCTTCCACTCGAAGAGTTCGCCGTTCAAGGAATTGATCTTCCGATCTTGTTCCTCGGCACCGGCATCGTAAGCCTTAGCGGCTTCTTCTTGAGTTTTGAGGAGACCCTTGAGTTCTTCAATTTCAGAGAGCAGCAACTTCTCCCTAGCCTCGTGCGCTTCTCTCATTTCAGTGATAATATTCTCTTGTTGGACAACCTGGTCACGCAGCTGAGACACGAGACCCATGTCCACCTGAGATGCACCACCC